ATTCTAGGAGGAAAGACGAGTCGTTATCTTTAGGGAGAATACTCGACTTAACCTCCACAAATGTATCAAAGACGGCCTTTGCGTCGCATTGAGAGAAGGGCTCCAATTCGGATTTTTATCGACGAATATGCCATGTACCTCTGTCAAGCAGAAAAGGTTCTACATCTCACAATTATATTATGGGGTAGGAGAATTACATCTCGAATACGTAGATGAATTACGTATAATTCTCTTGTGGGGAGAATAGAGGATTAAATTATAAGTTGTCTAATGTTGAAAACTTAAGGGGATCATATGTTGGAGATATATAGGAGACCTAAGTTGATCAACTTGAAAAGTCAGGGATCAAGCGGGGAAAATGATGCAAATGAAAAACGTTTTGTATACAACTTATAAAGTTATATATAGGTTCTTCCCTTTAACGTGAACGGGCAAATATTAGATTATTGCAAGAGCGCGAATAGAAACAACATGTATTATGGTTGTCATCATGATTGAACATATAATACGTGAAGTATGTAACATAATATCCAGTCGACTTAATAAGGCGAGATAATAAAAAATGTTTAAGCAAAAGAGGAAAACAATATATAACATCTCAACTCCTCCACCATTGTCTTCTTTGCTCATGTTCTCCTCATCTTGGTTTCGCTTTCTCACTCATCTCCAACGTCTTCTTCTCCTCTCCTCTCGCGAATCAAACCCCTCAAATAATTGACTAAAATCTACGGGGAGGAGTTCAAAGATTCTAACGTTGGGGTAACGATTCCTCGGGCTAAATCCTAAATCATGATGACTCGAGCAGAGAAGAAAAAAAGAGTTTAAAGATTAACCTGTGCCGCGAAATACTCCTGTTAGAGTTGATGTCGATGTAAAGTAAATGGAGGCGAATGCTGCAGGTAAACCTCAATATCTTTGCTTCTCTGCTTCGATTGGCCTTTCTTCTTCCTTACTCCATTTTTATTTTGCAATGTCATTGATGGTGTTATTGTGATTTTGTATGATGTCGTGCTGAAAACTGCATATTGCTACTATGTCTGTTTAGAATTTGGGTTTTATGAATTTGTGGCTGTTGCTCCTACCGTCATGTATTTGTTCTGATGGTTTTTCATATGTATGTGTATTGGTGATATTTGTTTCAATTAGTTGTTGTTTTTCTTTAGACAGGTGTTATGGTTATCGTCCTTTGATGTTCCTTTCGTCCCTTTTATACGTATCTCAACAAATTCGAATTGATGGTGGAGGGACAATGGTATTGAAAACTTTTCTTTTTCTTTCCAAGATGTCGGAGACTTGTCGATTTAAGTCATTCTATTCGATTTTGTTTAGAAACATGCTGGTGAATGTTTTGGAAACAATGTGATCTTGTCTCAGACATGTCTCAAATTATTTTTATTGCTTTTAATTCCTAACAGAGTGAAATATTGACAATTTCAAATTTCAATTGGACTTGGTTTGTTTTCAAGTGCCTTCCTTTTACAATTCCTCATTACTCAACCTTAGCTCCTATTTCACAAAATAGGGGTCCGTTCGCATGAAATGTTCAGGTACTGTCTTTTCTTTAATGCCTATTACTATGATTGAACGTGCTTTCCAAGAACGCTTATGTTCTTAGGTTTGCAGGAAGTGAAAGCGAATTGTGAATGAGATTGCATTTTTTTTGCGTCTTGACTGATTTCGCACGGCCATTGTAGGTTTGGAAATGTTATTTGTGCAAACGTCCAAGCTTGGAGAGCACGATCTACACCAGATCAGCATAACTGTAAATAATCTCGCGTCTTGTACTATCTTCCTTGATAAGCCTACCAAACGTGTCGTTTGCAAGTGCAGCCATAACTTTCTCACTGTGGCTATCAAAACTTCTTTATTGTTATCCTAAAGAATTGTTGTGAAAAGAGAAACAAGTCCATAACTATTGTCAAAGTTGAGCAACTCCCTATTAAGATTAACACGCGGGAACAACACCTTATCTTCATAATTATGGATTATAGCGGGTAACCTCGCTAATCGAGAGTATTCCTTGGCTGCTTTGTTCTGCCAAACTGTTGTCATGTTTTTTTTGGTAGAATTGTAATAGCTAATAGATTCAAGAACAGGCCTTCTGTTATCGTGGTTTTTAGTAGGATTGCAATAAATCTTTGTATTTTGTTTTGAACAAGAAATTTCTGGAATTTGTAATGTTGAACAATGTTGAGTAACAAGAGATTTTGGGTGCCATTTCAATTAATGGTGTTGTCATGTTTGGTAGAGTAATTTATCTTGTACTTTGGGTATTTTTGGATTTTGAATCAATTTTTGTACACTTGACATTTTGGACTGGTGTGAACTTTCCACTTCTTGCATTTTATAAAGGCCTTCAAATCTTGTATATTTTGAATCTTAAATTAATTTGAGTTTGTGGATCTTGGAACTTTTGTTGCGAATTTTATGGCTTGTAAATTTAAGTTTTCTCTTGAATTTCATTCGTATGCCCTCAATCCTTCTTGATGACTTAAATTATGCTTTGAAATGAGCTTGGATTGTAAGGAATTCTTGAACACTTTAAATATTGAATTTCTTAGAGCATGTGAAGTTCTTGTAATCCACTTTGAACCCTTAATTAATGTTGAACTCTTGAAAACATGGAAAGGGTGGTGGAACTTTTGAACTTTATGACTTAAACTTGTGATGAAGAACCTTTATATACTCTGAATTTTTGGAATTGTCTTGAATTTTATGAACTCCATCATGATTGGATTTGTCCTTGAAGCAAGAATCTTGTGCTTGAACATGGGATATACAACAGTGAAAATTAAATTTCACTTTGTAGAAACAACATGAGTTTGGAAATTCTTTAGTCACACTCCTAATTTATCATGAAATTTCTATTGCCAAACCATTCTTTCTCCCTTGTAAATTAGATATTTGGACATGGTCTCAAATTGTTATTTCTGATGAATGATCTTTAAAATTGAACTACTATGTAATGCGAGTTTTGAAGTTGGCATCGATCTTAATTTTCAAATTTTAATATCTCATGATGACTTGAAAGATTCTTAAATTCCAACACTCATGACTTATATTCCACATGACTTTGAACTTTGAGGAATCTCTTAACAAACGGACCTTCTACTCTTAGCAACTTTGATCCAGACAGAATCATTTGAATCCAAAATGCTAATAACCCGTCCTATGATACTAAAATGGAATCTCTAAGCCAAATCACGCTACTTCGTCATTTTAATCTCAACGGATGCATAATTTTCTCTTTTGTACCTTAACAAACCTCCCCGCCTTAGGCTTTTTTGTTTTGATGAGAAAATAACTTGGGAAGTGTCATACCTTAAATTTTGACCCTTAGACCTTCATCATCATTCTAGGAGCATCATCATTTTTTATCTAACCTTAACCTATTTCAAGTTTGTCTTTGTCAAGATGTAGATCAATTAGGGTTCCATACAGTCAGGAATCAGAGTTTATATGGTTTGATCAATCAATGTCTTGGATTGATTATCCATGAAACAAGTTCCCACACCATGAAAGATACTATATTGGATCAAGTATGAATCCTATTTGAGGTTTTCACCCAAAGAAGCAAAGCAGTGCAGCCCAGAACCCCCGATTAGGGTCTCTGATCAGGAAAAGTCAAATGTGGTTTGGCTTTTGATTCAAATGGTACTACAATGATTTAATTATGTCCTATTAAGCTTATATGACTTATTGGAGCCCACTCAAGAAGTTTTAAGACCTCAGGGGACCCAGAACACCAATAGTCGATTCAGAGTTTTCCGATCGATCGGTTCGTCTTACTGAAAAGTCAACTCATTGACCAAAAGGATTTTGACCCTAAAGTTGAAAGGAAATATGTTCCTAATGTTATATTGTATCTAGTCATGAAGTTTTGTGACTATTGGATCAAGGATTGAAGAGTAATCGAAAAAGTCGAGAATTAGGGTTTTGAAAAGGGACAAGACTATAACTTTCTAACCACACATCCAAATGGAGTGGTTCAAAGCTTGTTGGAAAGGTCTTGAAAAGTTATAGAAAAGTGTAAAGGTGAAATATGTGCAAAAAATGAATAGATTTGGAGTTATGATCAAAATCATTACAAGAGAGGAAAACACAGTAAAATTCCAAGGTTTTAGCACTTTTGAGTCATGTTTTTAGCCAACTTCAAGAGGAATTTTGACCTAGTTCCACTTGGAATTTGAAAATTACAGAACATGAAAGTTGTATATCATGATGAGGGCTTTCCAAAAAGTACAAGAACTACTCCATAGAATTTGTGAGCTAGGAGTTCCGAAGGAGGCAAGTTGGGTTCTCACACTTGAAATGCACAATGTCAAAACTCAGCATAAACCAACTTCCCAACTATCCAATTGATTTCCAACCATGGATTAACATCTAATTTGATGTCTAA